CCCCACTGTGCTAGGTTTTTTACTTTTTAGTTACATGTTATGATAGTAACTACTATCAATATTATGGTTGTAACGGGTTAAGGGGAATCAGGGTTCGATTCCGCAGAGGGAGTCTGAAAAACGGCTACCACATCCAAGGAAAGCAGCAGGCGCGCAACGTGGAGGTAGTGACGAAAAATGACAATACGGCAATCATTCACCGTAATCGGAATAAATACACTATATATCCCTTAATGAGAATAAAGCGTATTAATATATAAGTTTTAATAGTAATTAATAAATATATATATATATATATACGTGTAGAGCGACTTAAGTACGTAAACGTAACATTCACGAGGTATATACGGCGGCAGCAGCGTCGGCTGTAGGGATATATAAATGAATATTAACATATACGTACATATAAATATTAATATATATATATATATATATATTAATATTAGCGGCGATGGTAAGAATATATAATCTTTGCATAATATCTCGGCACTTTCGCTAGCGTCGACGACGCGATGTCCGGCGTGATCCTCAGGCGTCAAAAGGTTAGCCGCGTAGATGACAACGGTACGCGAGTGCGGATCGGTTTGTTGACGTTGTCACTTTGATAATGGGAAGAAGACTACGGTATCATTAGCGGCGGGACGTCGTCGGCCGTGCGGCACTTGCTGATCTTGGTGTTGGTCAGCCTAATACTCATAAAATAGGGCGATGGCTGATAAAGGTGTCACGAGTCGTGGGGCATCGTGTATAACGAAACGACGCGGGGCTGTGTCAATCACAATAAAAATTTGTTATATATATATATATAATTGATGACACGCACGCGTATACGGGTACGAAAACCAAAAATAAAATTATACAGGAAAAAAATTATACAGAAAATAGTGATTGCGCCAACCGGTGAGCGGGGTGGGGTGAATGCGTACGACGGTCTAGTCTCAAGGTCATACACGACGGGATACGCAACATAATAACACGTGCCGTGTGGAGTTACAAACTTACAACATACAACAAACAAACATACATGTGAAACTAATATAAGCGTGTTAAAAACAGTGGCGGCTCGTGGCTTGGACGACGGGACGATCCCATCCCCTATTAAAATTAATTACAAGAAGAAAATTAATTGTACATACTTAATTCTACATTTTTATTGAAAATACAAATTTTTAAATAGTAAAATAAATAATACATTTGTCGTGTGCAACATTAGTTGTTTCCATCAATATATGCGCATACACACACGAGTAGTGTTTGGACGACCGACAGTGTCGTCCATACGGCAAAACATTAGTATACTACTCTATTAGGTATTTTATTTTTAGTATTAACTGCTTGTCGTTATCAGTTGCTATAATAGTATAATCACTATTATTATTATTATTTTCGTTTCTATTTATCACTGCGACATTTAAAATAATAATATGTGTATTGTGTTTTATTTTATTATATTTAATTTGACAATTTTTTATACCTATGACTAGCGGTATTATATTTAAAGTAGCATCCCAACACCAGCACCCACGAGCCAACCACTGATGTAAATACTTTCGCCAGCCGACGAAAATATCCTTTCGTCTTCATTGTAATATTATTGTATGCGAAAAATGTAATATAAACGTTGTAATTTAAGTTATTAATGATAGTAGGAGTTCCGCCATAGGAACTCATTTTCATAGGATATTTGCTGTTATATTATGAATATATTGTATAATCGTAAATACTTATTTTATATTTTATACAAATTGTTTTTTTTATTTGAAAAAAAAGTATCTTCGTAAAAATAAATGCATCGTGTTGAGTTTACAATGAACCACCAACCAAATAAGCGTGAGTTTTCGCATCATTTTACACAAAAAGAAGGGTTGTGTTGATAATTTTTTGCTAGTTAGTGAAACATAGAAACATTTGAAGTTTTACTCATAACATAGCAAGTGTTTACCACTATCTAAAATCGCCATCAACCACACTCGAAGCGTATACAATAATAACATTTTTACGTTTTTTCTTTTATTTTTGTGTTCATTGAAAGATTATCAGTAACATATTAAAAACTTGCTTTCTAACTTAGTTATATAATTTTTTAGATTTCAATTGCTTTGATTTCATTTTACTGCGGAGATATCTTTAATATGACCATTAAAAAATAATCTACAATCTGAGCATCTGCTTTTTATAGAAATATAAACTAATCCAATACAAGCAGTGGCGTGCGGTAATATTTTATGCTGGGTAAGCGCTAAAATAAAATTTCAAGTTAAAAAAAAAAAAAAAGGTATTTTATTAATAAAAATTACAATCTAAAAGTTATTTATAGATAAAATCCATTCGTCTTTCTTGTTTCAAAAATTAATTTATAACTTTATCATCAAATTCCGGATTATTTTTTTTTTTATGCAGAAGTTCTTAATAATAAAATAATAATAAAAGTATATTAATAACGAAAATAATCCGATATGTATCGTAAAAATATTGGGGTTCCGTTTTTAAAATTACCGATAAGGGTTTGGCAAAGCGCTTTCAACCGCCACGTAAAAACATGTATATCCCTTTCTACCGCAACCGGTCATTCCTATAAATAACGATACGGGCTAGGCAATTCAAAATACGAGCACTTCTGTAAAGAAATTGCCTATACGAAAAAAATTCATTAAATTTCCTATAAAAAAACCTAATAACATTTTTTTTTAATTGAATACTCAAATAAGAATTAATGAATTGTTGTAATTTTAATGTATAAGTCAAATTGTTATTTAACATTATAAATGTTAATCTTTTTATTTCTTCCTTTTTGGCCGGGCATGATCCGCTTACTAGAGCTCTGCATTGTCCGAATTTTCAAGGACCGGACCGAACCGAACAGAAAAACTAAAAAAAAGACCGGACTGAACTGTTATATGAAATTTAAATTGGACCAGACTGGATAGAAATTTTAAATGGACCGAACTGAACCGGACTATAAAATAAAAAAACTCTGTCCAGATTAAATTAAACCAGATACAACAAAAATGTTGTCATAACACTTTTAAATTTCTTCCATACACTACTTTTCCCATCGTGAAGAAACAAAGTATAATCACCAGAAACACTCAATAATTTTCTTTTAACAGTATTTTTAGAGACGGTAAATGCTGGATTTTTTTCTAAATTTATTGTTGATTGAGTTGTATTTTCTAAGAAGGAATAATAGAATTATTTGAAAAGTCATCATCAATAGAGCTCACCGAAGTTGAGTTCAAGAACTCGCGAATTTGTTGAGAATTACTCATGATTCTAAAAAAAAAACAAGACTAAAATGTTTTTTTTTAACTATAGTTATTTTTATTTTGTGTGTAATTGATTTAATGATTTATGATTAATGAATCACCTTGTATAGGCTATAAAGAAAATTCAATAACTCAAAAATATCCTTGAATAAACTAAAATAATTTCAAATTCGTGTTATACAGAATTTAACATATTTAGTTTACACATACAGAATGATTTCTTAACTATGCCTCACGAAATAGCTTTGAAATTATTATTGTTAATAATTTTTTTTTTTTTACATTAACGATTCATTGTTGAGCAATTTAAACGAAAATTTAATTTTGTGTTACCATTTCGAATATCAAATGGCAACCCAAATTTTTTTCATACCATCAAATTTATTTAATATAAAAAAATGTTGTCTTACATATAGGGTAATTAAATCATGACTGATTGTTAATTATTACGATATATTTGAATAAGCTTTCACTTAAAATGTTAAGTAAAAGCCATTACTTTATTTATTTAGCCTGAGTTAAATTTTGGTTCAACAAGTTATTATTAGCATATTATTTTACATCGATAAATATTTTACGAGTAACGTTTAATTTTACAACAAAAAATTAACACCTATCAATTTAAAGCTGTACAAAACAAAATAATTTTCTATCTCTCTTAAAAAGCATATGTGCTTATTTTTATTATACTATTTTTTAAATAATTAAAAATTTATTTTATAAGAAAAAATACTTACAGGCAGTTCGAAAATAACTGACGTCTTTCGTTAATGATAAAGAAATAAAGCCAGATGATTATGTTGGTTGATATTTCCCAACTTTATTTTATTCAACATAATTTACAAATACTCATAAATGTAATATTGTTATTAATACAAGGGTAATTTTTTAAAAACACGGTTTTAAGTCTTAACTGAATTAAAATATTGTATATTATTAAATGGGTAGTAATAGCCTTTCTATGTCTAGATATAATTATAGTCAATAAAAACGATCAGTTTATTCCAAAGTGTACAGAAAAACTATGAAATAATATAATACACTTAACGACTGACAGTGTAAGAAAGCAATACAATATGCATTATGATTTTAAATCATATTTCAGGATCCTGGAAATTCTATCGGCACGTGGGTCATTATTTGAAAGAATTCAGCTTTTATGTGACATTTATTGTATTCATTTTTAGTGAGTGTTATCATCGTTCACTATAATGAAAACAATTTAAACCTATTACGATAAAAACTATGATTTTTTTTTATTAAATCACGCACGAGTTTCTACCAAAATCAATAATACAAATATATTTATAATACTATACTGCTATTAAAAGTAGACTATTATCTCAATTTGAAGATGGACCGAGACCGGATCCTAAAATTCTTTTAAAGACGAGAACTGGACCGATGAACTTTTTAAGGGACCGTAATAAAAAGGACCGATAATTTTTAACTACAGACCAACTAGGACCGGACCAATTTATTATTTGAAGTATAAGACTGAACCGGACCGAACCGTGGTCTTGTCTGGTTCAGTCCGGACCAGTTCAAACCGAACCATGCAGAGCTTTACCGCTTACCTAGCTTGCTCTGACCGCACGCCACTGAATACAAGTTTTGTTTTAAGCCCAAGACAACAAGATTAATTTTTAATAAAATAAAATTATTGAATATATTATTATTAATTGTTGTATAAAACTTGAATTATTTATTTATTTAGTTTAAGGGTATACCTACGTGTATACACACTTATACATTTAGTCACATAGATCACTGACTTGTGCAGGCGAATACTCCCAATTACAGTGACTCTATTTACACTGCACCAGGCATGACCAACCTTTTTAAGTTTGCGGGCCATTTGTCATTTCAGCAAAACTTAGACGGGCCGCATATCTATGAAAATTCACATTTTGAAAAATTTTTAATAATCTAATTTAAATCTACCCATATTATAAACATTATTAAATGTGTTATCTATCTAAAATCTATCTTTATTGTAAACATTATCAAAAACCTACTTAGATTGTAAACATTACCAAATATGGTCATAAACGAGCGGGATTAAAGGTGATAGAAAACATTGACACTATAAATAAATATAAACACAAACAATTGCCTACTATTAATTGATGCGTCCTTTGCACACTTGAGTCAGTTAGTTTCCTGCTTATGATGTTAAAGCGACTATATTCCAGTGAAAGTGATATTTAAGTGCATTGAATTATTGGTAATAAAAATTTTTTCATTATAAATAAAAATTGATCATTATTAACGAATATTTATTATTTAAAAATAATTTTTTTTAGCTCTGTGATAAATACCCTAATAAAAATGTCTGAAACAAAAAAAAAAATACGTAAAATTTCCGAAGAAAATCGTCATTTTCAGGACATTTGGATGTATAAATACTTTTTCATTCAATTCAACGAGAAACCAACTTGTCTTATTTGTCGNTGGATGTATAAATACTTTTTCATTCAATTCAACGAGAAACTAACTTGTCTTATTTGTCATGAATCTGTGGCTGTTTATAAGGAATTTAATATTCAGAGGCATTATGAAACCAAACACAAATCAAAATATGAAAGTATTAAAGATAAGGCTCGCGAATCTAAATTGGAGTTATTAAAAAAAAAATTCGCGGACGAGACAAGCGCTGTCAAAAGTATGTTTTCGCGACAAGTAAAAGGAAAGGACGATATCGTTACAGCAAGTTATAAGATTGCAAATCTTATTGCGAAAGATCAACAAGCGCTTAATAGTGGCGAGTTTATTAAAAAGTGCATCATCGCAGCTATTGAAGAAATCGCTCCTGAGAAATGCTCTGCATTCAAAGAAATAAGTCTATCTCGGCCCACCATTACTCGTCGCATAGAAGACATTGGTAAAAATTTACAAGATCAGTTGCAAACAAAAGCAGAACAGTTTTCTTTTTTTTCCTTGGCTTTGGACGAAAGCACGGACAATCGTGATACAGCGCAATTACTCATTTTTGTGCGGGGAATAGATCGAGAATTTACAATAACTGAAGAGCTTGCATCTTTACAGAGCATGAAAGACCGCACATCTGCAGATGACCTTTTTGAAGAAGTTTTGCAGTGCATAACAAAGTTGAATTTAAATTGGAAAAATCTTTGCGGACTAACAACAGATGGTGCACCAAGCATGATTGGTTCAAAAAATGGATTAGTCACAAAAATTTTGCATCAAATGGCCACTCAAAATTTAGAACAGCCATTGCCTGTTCATTGCATTATTCATCAGCAGGCGTTATGTTGCAAAGTACTCGAAATGGACCACGTCATGAATGTTGTTAGAGACATTGTGAACTTTATTCGTTCCCGTGGCTTGAATCATCGGCAATTCCAAGCATTTTTGGAAGAAGTCGGTAGTGAATTTTCCGATGTTCTTTACCACAACCAGATACGTTGGTTAAGCCGAGCCCAAGTATTATCACGCTTTTTTAATCTTCTTGCTGAGATAGAGATTTTTATGACGGAGAAAGGAAAAATATTCGTTCAACTTTCTGATTCATTGTGGCTTTGGGACTTAGCCTTTTTGACCGACATATCTAGTCACTGCAATGATTTAAATTTAAAACTACAGACACAGGGCAAATTCATATTTGAACTCTTAAATGACGTGTCCGCTTTTGAGCTGAAACTAAATCTATTTAGTAGACAAATTGAAAATAAAAATTTTATACACTTTAATTGCTGTAAAAAAATACAAGAAAAGAATTTTTTAAATTTTTCAACAGTAAAATTTGTAGACTTGTTGGAAAAATTAAAAACGGATTTTCATACACGGTTTAAAAAACTTAAAGAACAAAGTATGTTGTTTCGATTGACTGAAAATCCTTTTCAGATGGATGAAGCTGTAGTTCAGGAAAATTTTCAAATGGAAATAATAGAACTGAAAACTAATACTTTACAGAAGGACTTGTACGAAGAAAATCGAAAGAATTTACCAAACTTTTACAAAAATCTTGACGACGAAAATTTTCCTGAATTAAAAAAACTGGCTCAACGTGTTTTTTCAATGTTTGGATCGACATATCTGTGTGAAAAAACATTTTCAAGGATGAAATGTATAAAAAGCAAAGAAAGATCTCGCCTTATAGATGATCATCTTCATTACTTACTAAGGGCTGCCACTACAAAATTTGAACCTGACATCAAGAAGTTGGCGCTACAAAAACAACCTCAAGTTTCACACTGATTTTAACTTTGTATTTGAATTTTTTTCTGACATATTTGAAATAAAGCATTTATCAAATTTTTCTACTGTTTTATTCAAATTCTAAACTAAACTATGGGCCGCATAGAACAGTGTCGCGGGCCGCACGTTGGTCATGCCTGCACTACACCGTCTAATCGGTATTAAGTGCTTTTAACCGGTTCAGGTATGCACTATAATATTTAGTGCCCCTGTCCTAAACATCGAAAAAACTATTGGGATTAATTTGTTTTTTATAAACAGAAGAGAAAAAACTACTGAATAAATTAACAATATTCTGTCCATTGTCAGCTGTTTGATCGTTAAAAGGCATAGTGTTAGGTAGGTAATCTGGTTGTTGACTCAAGATTTGTAACGTAAGACTACAACTTTTTTTTATTAAGATTNGAAGATTTGTAACGTAAGACTACAACTTTTTTTTATTAAGATTTCAAAGAAGTTTGCATGCTATTTAGGTAACAAGAGTAATCTAATTTATTTAAGGTTTTACATTATGAATGAGTAAAAAAAAATTATAAATAATCATTACTAGAGTTAGACATTTTATAGATGTTGTGATACATTTTTCTTTTGTTTTATTATTTTTATTAAGGACTTGGAAAACTAAGGCGGAAATTTAGATTTGTTAATACTTCTTAAAGATATATAAAACTTTGTAGTAAAATGAAGAAGAAAATTAATTCATTGGTTAGAACAAATATATCGTTAGTAAATTAAAAAAATTATAAAAAACCCAGCACAGTGGGGACGTGACATAGTTGGATCCAGTAGATATGATATCTGACAGTGATTAAAATCACTATCATAAAAAATGGTTCAATGCAATTCTGTAGATAGTGTTTAATTAAAAAAAATTAGTGAATTATTCCAAAAGCTACATGATCTACTATTTTGTTATTAATATCCTGGTTAAGATAAATTATGTCGAATGTAAAAGGGATGTAAATATTATTTCTCATAAAAAAATTGTGTGTAATCTTTTTTTCCATAATAATGTATATTACATAAGATTTAATTTAAGGTATATATAAAAGTGTCAGACTTTCCGAAACACTTTCAAAAGTTAA